CCACCCCACCCCCCACAAAAAAAAATGTCAATATCCCTTATTTAGTCTGCAAACGCACTATCCTCCCAAGACCCCTGTGTAATTACAGTGAGTATGTTGTTGTTGGAAGCAATAAACTTCTTTTTTCACTCTTTAACTAAATTATTGTTCATAGTCATACAAATCTTTATGACTTGATTAATTAGGTGACCATATGTTTCAAAAGGTTTTATTTCTTTCTTAAATTTTGTGTCGGGTCAAATACTTATCACATAAATTGAGACAGCATGAGTATCAAGCATATAGCACAATCGTGGCAAGGGCACTATACTAGCAAGCAACAAAATTTATTGTAGAAATTTTTGCGAATAATTATTAAACATGCAAACTAGAAATCATGTGGTGCAAAACATTTACAAAAATAAGCAAATTAGTAGAATGAAAAAAGATAAATGAGGGACCTGAAGAAGAAGATTAGTAGCATAAGTAATGTAATTCCTTAATCTTCCTTGTGTTGTTATTCTAATCTCATTCTCCTTAATAGGATTATCAATTCTTGGCTTCTGCACTTTCTCATACCTATCCATAACTTTTTTTAAAAACACAGTTTTCCTTCTATCAATTCCCAAGTATTGAAAAAAATTAAGCACTTGTAAAAAATCAAATCTTACAGTAATGTTAGTTCTTTTGATAGTGTTTCTTTTTTACTTTTTTTTCTTTTCTTTTGGTCAAAACAGTATTCAGAAAAATACGGTTAATTTGTGGCTAATATAACCGGCTTAATTTTCTGATCTCAGTTTATGACTCTGATTCATGAAATAACCACGTGTTTAAGATTCTTAATTGTAACCCTAAAAGGATGAAGCTACAAATTTTATTTATTTTAATTTTTTTAAATGTTTATTTTTAATAGTTGAGATGTGTTGATTAATTATTTTTTTTTAAGAAATAAATGTTTTTGAGTTGCAGTAGAAATTATTTTTCAGAAGTTAATTTATTTTTTTTGTGTCAAGGCAAAATTAGATTAAAAAATATCTTCGTGTTAAGTCAAAATCCACATTAATTACTAAAAATTATATGTTAAATTACTTGTCAATTTATAAAATCAAAATAAAATAATTTTTATTATATTTTCTCCTTAAAATTAATTCTCTTTGAAGGTATTGTAAAGTTCCACAAACCTTGATATAAATGGATGAGGCATATAAATAGGGTGTATTAAAAAAATTATAGGATGATTGTGGAGAGAGATTAATATAGTGAAAAATATAATAGTATTAACTAAGATCATAGAATAAATATTAATGATAATAACTTAATAAAATTACTCTTTAGACAAAAATTTCTCAAGGTATGTCTAAGAAAATGTGATAAACTATATGGATCAGAAAAGTAATACGCAATTGCGAAAAAGGAAAGTGAGGAACAGTTTCTTTTAGGGAAAATTGTATATAATAGCAAACTATTAATTCAAATTAAATGCTATAAATATAGTTTGATTTAATTGTACCTCATAACAAATTGTTGCTATTTCACCTCTCTCCTGGTGAATCTCACTCGCCACTCTCGTTCTCTCTCTCGCCTCTCTCGTTTTTTATACAAACGCAA